CTGGCCAATGTTCCACTTTGAGGTCAGAGTTACAGTCAAGTTTTGGAAATAACACAAAGGACCCCAAATACTCCTCACCTACTTATTCTCACACATATATTAACACACGATTACTTCTTTTCTGAAATATTTGAGAGTACATTGCAGACATAATATGCTTCTTTCCCCTAACAGTTCAGCATATATTTCCTACATTCTCTTACACAGACATAGTACAATGATCAGGGAATTAGCATTAATATGCTGCCATTATCTAATCTGCAGACCTTATTTCAATTTTGCAATGTTTCCTTTTGAACTTTCCTTTTGAAGGAAAGGTTTCCTTGCCTCAAATGTCCCTTTTTAAAATATTTTTTTGAAAAATATGTGGGTTTTTTTTTTAATTTCAAAGAGGAAGAGGAAGAGAGAGATAGAAACATCAATGATGAGAGAGAATCATTGATCGGCTGCCTCCTGTAGGCCCCCTACTGGGGATTGAGCCCACAACCCAGGCATGTGCCTTTGACCAGAATCAAACCTGGGACCTTTCAGTCAGCAGGCAGAGGCTCTATCCACCTAGCCACACCAGCCAGGGCTCAAATGTCCCTTTTTAACAAAAGAAAAATAAATTCTAGCCCGGGATCAAATGTATGATCATAAGTTGCTTTTAGTTGACATGCTAAAAGTAAATGGCAAGTACAAACCATTTCTTTTGTAGCATGTTCCCCAATTTAGGTTTGTTTGTTTCCTTCTAATTAAATTCAGACTCTGCATTTTCAGCAAGGATAGAAATGCTGTAAATCATACAGCAAGGCCCAGCGTCGCCATTTCTTTCATCGCAGGTGATGCTAACTTTGATTACCTGGTTAAGTTGATGCCGGCCAGCTTCCTCCACTGAACAATTACAAGCTTTCCTTTGCAATTTACATCGTGTGTGTGTGGGGGGGGGGGATGGAGAGGGATACTTGAGATCATGTAAATATTGTTTCTCATCTATCCTTTATGCACAGTTACAGCGCCCATGATGATTTGGCACATTCCACTAAACCCTGTCTCCGCTGGGCCCCACTGCCCTCCGGCCAGCCCAGTGCTAGGAGTCCCATCAGAGAAGGTGCCGGATCACTTCCTGTCCACAGGGCCTCCAGCTGGGGAGGGAGCTCCTGCCTCAGAGCGCAGGGCAGTGGGAATGCGCTCTGTTTGAGCTTCAGCCCCTGAGCAGGCAGACCCTGAGCTAAGGTCAGGGGGAGTTTAAGTGGTCAGAAACCTGGAATAGCATGAGAATCTGTGTCCATTACCCCCCTTGGAGGGCCCCAATCAGACCCTGTCCCAAATGCTTGTCATCCAAGGAACCCACAAGGTACTGAGGGCACCGGCACTACCGGGCTGTCTTCAGGTCCCTGGTCAGAGCTGGGTTGGGGGGCTTGGGGCAGAGGAGACGTGCTAAGGGTGTGCCAGGCTTGGGGCGCTTCCAAAGGGGCTTGTGAGAAGCATTCAATCCCCCCTCCACACCGCTTTTTATGCATGCAGCAGACATTACTCAGCACCTATGTGCCAGGCATTGAGTAGAGTGGTGGAAGTGCAGATGCTCCCAGTCCCTGGTTAAGTAGGTTTGCCTGGAGCCCAGAGGCCTCTTCAGGCCCCGGCACTTGGGCTAGGCAGCAGGTGGCTTTGCCCATGGCTGAAAGCAGAATCAAGAGAACTGCTGAGTCCTCTAATCCAGGTGACTTTGAGGGCGTGTCGCTCCTTGGCCTTCTCGCTTCCCCTCGCCTCCCCAGCACTTAGCAGAGAGCTCCTGCGCCTGGGAGGTGGGCCCAACCTTTAAGACCCAGGACAGGGCTCCCTGTGCGAGGCAGGAAGCAGAGGTCTGTGCCTCCCCAGCACAGCCCCACTCTGCTCTGTCCTGTGGTCCCACTGTGCACCTCTGAGGCTTGAAGGGAGAGCCCAGGAAGAGCTTCCTGGGAGGAGGCATTGTGCATGTGCTGTGAACAGGTAACCTCTTCCCTGTAACGCAGTGGGTAGAGCACGGGAGCTGCCTGAGGGGGCTGTGGTTCTCAGCACACCTGCAGCCTGTCTGTAAAGTGGGTCCAGTGTTGTGGGGGAGATTAACTGAGATGGGGTGCCTGGCAGTCAGTAACTGGCTTGTTTTTAAATAAGGCCCCAGGAGCTCCTACATATAATCCCGCTTACCTAAGACATCCTGTGGTTCTTCAAAAGGCCTGGAGTCCTTCCTTCCTCCACTCGGCCCAGGTGTCTCCTTCTCCTTCAGAGGCTGGGCTACCTGCCTCTCTCCCCTGGCTCTCCTGGGCCCCGCCCAGTTCTATCACGGGAGCCTGCAGTGGTCTTTTGCTTTGATGTCAGGAAACTTCTTTTCTTTCTTTTATTGAATGTACTGGGGTGACAGTGACATTGGTGGATAAAATTATGTATGTTTCAGGTTCTGTAGTTCTGTAATAGCGGCACTTCATATGGGGGATGAGCACAAATGACTTTTAATCTGGGCTCTAATACTTTCTTGCAATGTGATTGTGGGCAAGTTACTTACCATCCCAAGTCTCTGATTGTTCTTCTAAACAGTAGTGCTCCTGCAGGGTTACTTCTGGGACTAGAGAGAATACCCATAATGCACTGGCTCGTCACTGACCTCATCACTCCAGCCCCGGTCTTTGCACAGGACCCTTGGTCCGTGCACAAACATTCTGGTTGAGCAGGTTAGGGAACACCTGCAGCCCCTATCCCAAGGTAATTTTCATTAAAAAGCAGAACTAAGTGAGACCCAAGTCTAACACAAAGAAAAAGCCCCAACAGTGGGATCCAAGGCCCTGAGCAGGACTGGAGGGCAGGGGACAGGTGTGCTGGGTCGGCCCAGCGCCCTCATGTCAGTTCTGGGGAGTGGGAGGACTGCTCATGAAGCCCATGCCTCGCCTGTCATGCAGGGTGAAAGTGAACCTTGGTTGCCTTGCTTTGGATTCCCTCTTTGGACCCCAAGGGAAGACTGGAAGGGACACAAGATTGGCAGCACCTGGGCCCACTGGATCTCTGCCAGCCCAGGGCCCCTGCCCCCTGAGCTGGGCCCCAAGAACAGGCAGGGAGAGAAGGATGGTGGCAAAGATGATTCCAGGAGACTCCGGAGACAGAGGAACCTCCACGCCTCACTTGGAGGAGGATAGGACCTTCAGAAATGAACAAAATCACCCCTTAATTTGAGTGATGGAGAACCAGTTGGCACGGATCTTAAGAATTAGCTTGTTTTTCTCCAGAGTTTAGTGTGCTGGGGGAAAGAGCTGACACAGCTCAGGGGGTTCTTGAACTTCCAGTATCAGCATAAAATGTTAATAAGTGTTACAGTTGTTTCCATTGAATTCCCCCTCCTCACTAATAAGAGCTGTGTGGGTCTTTGGGTTGTGTCTCTTTCCTTCCATGCCCCCTTTTTCCCCACCGCCAGTGGTGCTCCCAGGCAGGGAGAGCCGTGGGCTCATTCGCAGCACATTTGTTACTTCTCACTCACCTTTAGGTAGTTCATTTCCAACCCAGAAAATCAAGGAGAGAAGGGAAGAAAAGGACTGGTGCCTAAGTCAATACAGCTGGTGCCATTTCTCAAAGGTAAAATTGGAACTGTTAAGAAAACAGTTAAGGAAACTGAGATAGAGGAGGGAAGGGATATGAAGACTGAGAGTTCTGGAACCTGCCTCAGGTATCTGGTTAGTTCTTTCCTTCCTTAACCCTTAGGCAGCATGAGTCAACAGGGACTGGGATCTGAGTGCCTGGGGAGTGGTCTGTCGAAGGTGGGGCATCAGTGGGGGCTCAGAGTGTTTATTTGGGGCAGGTTCCATTTGGGGAGCTAGAATGGCATCCACAAGTCTGATACTGTCACCTTGGGCAGAGTGGGGCTCCTGAGCTCACTGCCCAGATGTCCCTATCTGCCTTACAGAGTGAGACTGCTCATTTGGGTTCAACCCGGGGGTTATCTCTCCCCCCCTCCACCCCACTGGCCCTGCAGACCCATGCCAGGGGGAGCTGCGGGTTTGTCCACGAGGGTTTGGGTCACTCTTGTGGGTGGGGAAGCACTGGGACATGTGTCTTGCTCGATTGCTGCTGTGTGTGCAGCAGGTGAGATCCAGCTCAGAACAGGAAAAGAGAGGGGTGCTAGTAACCGAAAGGTCTCAATAAACATTCTTTTCAGGTGAGCATCACACAGGAAGGAGAGGAGAAGGGAGAGAAGAATGTGGAAAACTGGTAGATGAAAAGCAGAAAGGCCTTTGAAAGTGCCATCTGGAACGGGCTGGAGGGAGGCCTGGGGCCGCCTTTGGGTAAGGCTGGGGAAGGCCACAGTTCCCCCCACACTGTGCAGGGGCACAGCTGCCCAGCAAGCCGAAGCCAGCCCTTAGAAAAAGCATGAGGGAACTGAAGTCCCTACTCCTGAAATGGCCCCACCACTGGGATTGCTTCCAAAGGACTTGGTGAGTCAGGGGAATGCCTTGTGCAAGCATCTCCTTTTCATTAAGCTTGAGATGAAAGGTTTAGAATGATGGCAGAGGAAGGTAAGCCATAGAGCATAAGCAGAAATTAATGAGGACTGTGTCTTGGGTTTTCTTAACACTACGAACCAGGGGTTCTCAGCCAGGGTGATGGATGAGCTGCAGGGCCCCCAATCACTCTGTGATCATGTGCAAACTGACTGGATAGTTTTCAGCAAGTTTTCAAGGTATCTCCAACCCCCTCCCCCCACCCCCCCACCCCCCCCCCCACCCCCCCGAGGTTAACAAGCTGTATTCGCTCTCCCATGTGCTGGGCATACAGGAGTCACTGGGTGTGTGGTTTTTAAACAGAGGGTTTCTTTTCTAGAACGGACACAAGTCGCATGGAGCCCTGTGTTTCACCCTCCTCTTGGTTAGCCATGCCTGGAACAGAGACCTTGGCTGCCCTGCTTCCCAGCCCAGGAAACCCCTTGGGCCAAGACACAGCTGGCCAGACTCTGAGAAGCACAAACCGAAAAAGAGCCTTGTTGTGTGTTTTGGGTGTTGTTTTTTTTTAAACTGTGCTTTATTTAGGGCTAAGCTGGAGAAAGCGTCATCCAATAGTTACAGAAGGTTACAAGGAGTTTTAGGGAGTTGAGTGTGAAAAGAGCAGTTGTACTGAACTGCAGCGGTTTTGTTTTGATTTGTTTACAACCTCTGGACATCCTAAAAGGAGGAGCCGAGAGAAAGAAAAAGAAGAGTTTAAAAAGAATAATTAACCAACAAAATAAAAGAAAAAGGAAAGGCAGGAGGTCCGAGAGGAACCAGCTAAAACAAAACAGGAAAAACATGGCAGGTCCGCACGCCCCCTGGCCTCACGCTGACCTGGCATCGGCCAATGGGGAGGGCCACAGGGCAAATGCCAAAGCAAGTCTTCCCAACGGCGCAAATAAATTATAATAAATATGTCATACTTTAAAATATACGCGTTCTTAAATAAATCAGTGTTTTTCTGATTCTGAGTTTTTTTTTAAGCAATGTCTTTAACTGCTCTAAAGTCATTTACCAAAGATAAATATCGTGCTTTCATTAAATAGTTTTCCTTGTTTTTTTTTCTCTATCATTACAATTAAAAGTCCTACAAAATATGCAAATTTATTTACAGAAAAACAGAGCCGGCATCATTTAAACATCCCTGTTTTTCAAAATTCCTTGTAAACAGTTTCAGAAATTCTTCAAAGATTGTTTTTTCTCTCTCTTGTTTAAGGTTGTGTGTGTGTGTGTGTACGTGTGTGTGTGTGTATTGTCTAGTTGTCTTAAGATGAAAGTTCCCAGGTCCCCTTGCCCGGAAAGTCTCTGGAGCAAGCATGGAAGGCGAGTGAAGCGGAGGTCCAGGGCTTTCGGAGGGCGGCGAGCGAGCACACAGCTCCGGCGAAGCGAGGTGAGGGCGGCTGGCCTTGCTGCCCTGATGCGGCCTCTGGGCAGTGGGCAGCCAGGAGCCCGCAGGTCTGGGGCCATTGGCCTGGCCCTCGGGGTCAACGGTGTCGTCATCCGACAGCACTCACTCGCAGGGAGAAGGGATTGATGCTCAGTCTAAACTCTACAAAAAGTACAGTCCTACAACATCTGGGATTTTAGCAGTAATGCTAACTTCTATAAGTTTTTTTTTCCTTTTTTATTATTTTTTTTATTTGTTGCTTTCCTCTAATTTTTTTCTTCTATTATATAGGTATTTTAAACTTCTCCTTTTTTAAAATTCTGTACAACTATTATGTTTGTAAGAGGGGGAAAAGTTAGAAGCATTTACAGACTTTTCACAACGATTCTCTTGCCTTGTGAGTCCCTTTTTTTCCCCTCGTTTTTCTCACACTTTACAGCTAAGGAGCTTTAATATTTTTGTTGCTTTTCCCAAATATCCACCAATGTGTTCCTCTTAACAGCTCCGTCCAGACATATAATACAGAAAACCATAGGAAAGTGTCTAAGACTTGAATGAGGGTAATCAAAGCGCCTCTCGAAGTATCAAAGAACTATTATCTTGCTGTTTTAAAAGCATGTAAGCATTATTTTTTTCCTTTTTTTGTGTGTTTTTGTAGTTTTTTGTGGGTTTTTTTTTTTAATTTTTTTCTTAATATTTTTCATAGAATCGCTCTAAGCTGTTTGGAGAACAGCCAGGAGACAGAAAGGAGGTGCTCCCCCGCCCCCCCTGTGTGTGACATAGAGCTACACATCTGCAATAAAAAGTTTGGTCCTTTGGTCCCTAAATAGCTAAAGGAATGACAGATAGAGATGCTCCGTGGCGGCTCCCAGCCGCCCCCTGGGGACCAGGCCCCCGCACACCGCTCGCCCCAGCCTGCCGCAGGCGCCCTCGGGCTGGAAAGCCCCGGGGATCGGTAAGCAGCGCAGCGTCTCTGTCCAGTTCCCAGCCCTTCAGCCTCCCCGTCTGGTCTCAGGTTATTTTGTTTGAAAAGTTGCCTTTTTTTTTTGTATGTGTTTTTTTGATTCTCAATTTTTCTTCTTCTTCTTCTTCTTCTTCTTTATGTCATATGTGTTTTCCCCAAACAACGTGCCCTCTGAACTCCATAGACGCTATACTTCCCTTGAAGAAATGTTACAGTCACAGAGTGTCTGGAGTCCTCAGCTTGCTTGGTATTGGCTGATATGTCAAAGGTGTTCATCCAACAGTTCTCATTTATAAATAGAGAGAGAGAGAGGTTTGTTTTTTTAATGTAGCCCGTTCAGCATCCTGCCCTAAAATGAAGAAAATCAGGGCTGATTAAGCAAAGAGAGGAAACACGAAATGCATCCAAACACCACAAGGAGCCTGCCTGGGGCGGGGGTGGGGGGTGGGTTCTGGGGGTGGCAGGAGGGAGGGAAGGACCGGGATGAGAATTAGTCATGATCATGATACATAAAGGAGAAATCGACTCTTCTCTTCAGAGCAAGAAACCACTGAGAGGTCTAGTCGTGAAGGCTGTGGGAAGGGGTCTTGATTCAGGTTCCTTCTGAGTTCTAGATTGGGGGATGGCTCAGTCTAAGGGGTGAATTTGGGACGGTGGGATATGAATTCGTAATTAAGCTGATCTCAGAGGGATCTATCCCAGATACAATATGTATACAGAAGCCTAGCAAACAAGGTAGCACAATCTAGCAGCCCAGCCCCCTCCTCCCGCCTTGAGGAAAAGGCAGAAAGAGCCATGACATGAATTTTGCTGAATCCTTGCCCAGTTTCCACCACCAACCGCTTCTTTCCCAAGGTCAGTAACTATTTGCGAGGCTACGTGTATATATATATGCTTATCTGGATATATGTGTAGAATATATTCACCTGCACATATGTGGATATACATGAATACGTGTGTATGTATATGCATAGATACACACATATACACACACTTAATGTTTTTTCTCATACATGCCAGGGAATTTAGAGGAAATTCAGATCTTCAAGGGGTGGATGGGAGAACCTAAAAGAAGTCAGAACGGATTTAATCGTCAAACATAACTCAGTTCTTGATTTCGTTTTGAATGGTGGCTTTTTTGGCGTTTTGTTTTGCTTTTAAGGAAAAAAAAATCATGATCTGACTAGAATCAGAGGAGAATGCTTAATCACTGTGAGTTAACAAATGAGACTCATCTCCATTCTAGCAAGCAGCTTCCACTTATACATGGGGGTGACTGGTTACACTGAGAGAGTTAGAACTGCAAAGCCCCCGTGGAGGGGCCCATGTCATGCGTATATCAATCCATGCTGGCAGGTTTTCACACTGTTGATTCAACAAACAGCAAACCGTACACAGCAGTCTAAACAATTACAACACCAAAGAAAATAATAATAAAATTAAAAAAAAAAAAAAAAACACTTGTCAAGGACCCTTTTTCAGTTGGAAACAAAAAAGTGCATTTTGCTTTTTCCAAACCAACCTAAAAGCCCTCCCGTCACCCTGGGCCCCGGGTCCCCTGCCCACATTTAATTTAGCAGAAGTGGCTAAAATACAAACCTTACAATCGTTACCAGGTGCTCTCTCAGAGGCCTCTGGCTTTGTACTCTAGTTTTTTGGTTTAGAATTTTTTTTTTTAATCATTCTGTTACTGTAAAGATATATAAATATATATTTTTTGGTTTTCCTTTTGAAGTGAGATTTAAAATGGCCTAACTGGAAAAAGACCAGACCCAGGAAAAGTGTCAATTGAAAAAGGCCCCCAAATTTCTAGAAAAAAATAAAATCACAATATTTTCAAGTGCAAGTAAATCAACCACGCATATTTTTAAGATGTTTTCCTTATTTTTTTTTTTAAAGAAAAAGATAACGGTTTGCACAGTTAAATGATCCCGTGTTCGATAATTCAGGAATTCATCTTTATTTTTTACTATTTTTTTGTGCTTTTGTTTTGTTTTTGTTTTTCTCTATGTGACATCTAGAGAAGCATAAAAAACGCTGAACAAGAAAAACCAAACAACAGAAAGTAAAACCACTGCAAGCACCAAGAACGAAACAAAAATGAGCACAGCAAAAAAGATCGTGGCAGCACAAAAGTCAAGAGAATGCACGTGTGATCATGACTGGCCAATCATCAACTGATACAACATCCAAGAAAAACGCTCCAATCACAGCACCTCCACGAAACTTGACGGCAATTGTCATGCAACCGATTCTTAGCCTTGTTACATGACGCCATCATGTCACACTGTGAACTTTGAGTTGATTTGAACTTACGGATGGGGGACTGTTTTCTCCACTCTCATGTGATTACGTGAACTTTATTCCTAGCTCAGCGCGAGACTGTGGTGGATTTGACTGGCTCTGGTTGGGTTGTTGGAATTTGATTGAATGACAAAAGAAGAAAAGATTTATATATATATATTTATATATGGAGAGAGAGAGAGAGAGGACAAGAGTGTGGGTAAGGGGGGAGGAAGGGAAGGAGTGGGGCGGGGCGGGGCGGGTGGGGTAGGGGGAGTGTGGGAGGGCAGGGAGAGTTGGGTGGAGGGTGAAGGAGGGCAAGGAAGAAATTAAAACAAAATTAAAAAGGAAAAATATTTATACAGCACCAGACCACAGCACCAATCTAACAGCTCGGATGAGAGAACAGCAGTCAAATCATAAAGAGAACTGAAAAGAACTCAAAGGATGGAGGAAGCGGCAGACGGACAACATGAGCACATCAACACACGCACACACACACATACACGTTGTTTATGCAGACACATGGTACACTGTGAACGGCAGCAGGACCTCACACAGGGCCACTGAGGGCATCCATCATGCGTTGGAGGGAGGGGGGCGTGGGCAGTTTGGCAAGGGGGCCAGAACAAAATAAAACAGCCCCTTAAACCACCTTGGCTGGCCAGCAGCTCGGGAGCACATTTCTGCTTTCTATCACACTCATGATTCTCTCTCTCTCTCCCTCAGGTGCTGGCTCTCCTCACCTCCCCAGCCTTCTATGGCTTCTGCCTGTGGACCAGCAGGGGGAGCCTGTCAGGGTGACCTGAGGGCCCGGAGGCTGGCTAAGGTGGCTGTGGATCCGTCAAGTCCATCCATGACATACTTTGCTGCCACAGTACAGTCCACACTGGCAGCAACTCGCTCTCCCACCCTCTGGGTCCCACCTGGGCCACCGTCCCCAGGGAAGGAAGCCTCCTCTTCAAGCGAACCCACTGTGAGGATGTTAGGATCCCGTCCCCTTCCGCTCTGCCTCAACCCTCTTCCCTCAGAACCTTCGGAACAGGAATGCATGGAATTTTCAGTTTGGAGGAAACCACATCGACGTTCCCAGAAATCTGTACACGTGCCCTGGCACTGCCGATTTCACGTCCCAATCACCTCCCACCGTGAGCTCTGCTCCCCAGGAGGCCCATGTGGTGCCCAGTAGGGCAGGTAGTACAACAGGACAGTCTACCGGAAAGGGAGTGCTGTGGCCCCAGATCTCTCTCTGCTGCTGTCACTTTCGCTCTGCTGGCCTTCCCTAGTCCACCTCCTCCTTCTCCATCCCTCAGGCCTCCCTGTACGGCCTTGTTGGCTGACCATCTCACAGCCCTGGCCTGCCTCCTCTACCAGCAGAGCCCTAGGTGGCTGAGGCTGGGTCCCCTTCTCCTCACTTTGAGTTGTTTCCTCGCCATTTCCAGGTCCTTTGCCCCCATCTAGGGATCTGGGGTGGGGTTCCCCAGTTCTATCCCCTTGGCATGACTACCCTTCACCTTGCTCACCAGCCCTCTCCCCTGTGGCACTCAGGCATCGGGTTTATCTGCAGGGTTCCCCACCCACCAGCCTTCTACACGCAGCCCCACTGACTTCCACTCTCAGTTTTGTTTTCCTTCATGGGAAGGTGGAAGAGAAGCTTGGGATCGTGAAATGTCAGTGTGGACAAGCTGCAAAGCAGCTGAGAGGAGACTATTTTAAGCCCAAGCCCAGCCTCCAGCTCTGCCTTCTCAGAACAGCTCCCAGCCCCTCCTCCTCCCCGGGCCCCTGCCCAACCTGCCTGCCAATCTGGATTCTTGCTCTTCCAGCAGCAAGTCTCCCTCACACAGACCAGGGCCCACGGCGTGCCCTCCAAGTCCTGACATGCCACCCTCCCCTGCACCGCCACCCGCTTCCGGAAGACAGCCCTTGGACCCACCCAGGATATTCAATGGGCAGGCCCCTTGGGGTGGGAGGAGAGGCCTCAGAATGGAGGAGGGCAGTGCCAGCAGGTGTGGGCTACGGCAAGAACAACTAAGGGGTCCCCTGGAGACCTCTCTTTCCCCTCCCCCTGGTCCTGAGCTCTGAAAGATACCCACTCCTGGACTCTGCTCGGCTCCTGCCCCCAGCTTTCCTCCACCTGCCCTTCAGTGCCTGGCGCTGTCCTAGGTGCTGGGGACCCCAACCTGCGTATCACACGCCCCTCCTCCAAGCTCAATCCCGGGCCGTCTTTGGGCTGCTTCAGCTGCACCTTGAGCCTCTTCACGCCGATCTGGAAGCCGGCATCTCACATCTCACACACAGACACAAGATCATTCAACCCAACTGCTCTCTTCACTAGGGAACAACTTGTCTGCCTGCTGGGGGACCTGGGACCTTCCCGGGTGCCCTCCTGGCTGCACAGGGTCCCTGACCAGCCTGGGGGAGCTTGAATCAGGCTGGGGAGGCCCCAGCTCAGGACTGGGGTGAGGCAATGATGGCCTGGCCGCAGCCAATTGGATGCTGGCCCTAAACACAGCAGAGCTCCAGCCAGGGAAGGCCAGCCCCCTGCGAGCCGGACCCGGAGCACCCGTTTCCCAACACTCAGAGCAGACTCTGTGCGGGCGCCCAGGGTGCAGGAGGCACAGGACTCCCACCGGAGCTAGGCACGATTCTCAGTGTCCTCCAACCCAGAACTACCTCAGCTTGGGGCCCAGCACTTGGTGTGAGCTTGGAGTGGGGCCGGGACTGGAGGTTCTGGCTGTAGAGCTGGCCTGGCCTGGCCCACTCTTTGCCCATTCTTCCTGTCTCTGTTTTCTTCCTCTGAGACTCCCGGTAAATATTTTTTTTTTTTGGAGAAACTCCCTCAGACCCTGAGTCACCTTCTTAGAATCTCCACTTGAATGTCAGTTTCTCTGGTAGACAGCCTGCCCTGACTCCCTGATATAACTGTGGCCAACAATTCTGACACGCTGTGGAATTTACTCTCTGATCATGCATTTGCTCGTTGTCCCTCTCCCCTGCTTAGGACATGGACTCTTGTCGGTCTCACTCCGGGCACAGCGCTGCTGAAGGAATGGGGGGAGGAAATGGGGGCTGAGCGGGGAGGGGAGGGGGCTGCACAGCCTGTCTCTGGCCTGAGAATGAGCAGGCCCTCCCTGCAGGAGCTCACAGCCACGGGCAGCCCAGGCTGAGAGGGGACGTTGGATGTCCTGGCAGAGCTCCTCCTCCCCACTTTCCCAGGAGGCCGCCTCCCTCAGGGGCACAGGTGGCAGACAGAGGGGCGGCCCACTGTGTCTCCAGCTCAAGGCAGGACCCAGACTGAGCAGAAAGGGTGACGACTGCCCACCCATCCTGGCCTCCATACGGCAGGCAGGGAAATGGCCCGTGGTACAGCATCACTGTCCTCAGCTTCTGTCCTATCCGGTTTTGTTAAGTTCCCTGGGAAAAGTCCTGTTCCTCTTCTCCAGGCTGAGCTATGGGCAATTGGAGGGGGGAGGGGACCAGGTGTCCAGGCAGGAGAGCTGGGGAAGGGGGAGCCAAGGAGGCTAGGAGGAGGCCTCACGGAGGGCCACAGCTCCCCACAGGACCTGCTCTGCGCCCCCAAACACTCCCAGCCCTGAGCCTGCCACGGAGGCGCAGGCCAGGGCCCTCCCACTTCCCAGGACGGTCCCCTCACTCTGCCCCTTCGGCCCTGCGTCAGGGGGGTGGCCATGACTATTCTTCGGGGGATGACCACAGCTCTGCGCCTGGCCCCCAGGAACCGGGCAAGGAGCAGGTCCAGACGGGTGCAGCGGGTCCAGGCCACGGAGGTCGGGGAGGCGGCGGGTCCGTCCGGTGCCCCCTCCCGAACGCCCCCTCCCGGCCCCGCGCCCCGGCGGCCCCCGGTCACCTGTGCGAGTCCTGGTCTCCCCCGGGGGACGCTCCCGCCGGCGCTCAGTACGGGCGATTGGCGTCTTTGGGCCGCTTCAGCTGCACCTTGAGCCTCTTCATGCCGATCTGGAAGCCGTTCATGGCCTGGATGGCGGTCTGCGCGCTGGCCGGGTTGTCGAAACTCACGAAGCCTGGCGAGACACGAGGGGCGAGGGCCTGGGTTTCCACTGGGCCGCCCCGGCGGGAGGGGTCCGTGGGGACAAGTCCGGGCAAAGGCGGGGCGGGCGGGCCACTGCGGCCCCTCCCGGCGCTCCCGCCCCGCTATAGTCTCCGCCCCCCTCCGGACAGGGGCGGGGCTACAGACTCCTCCCACTCTGGGCAACGGGCGGGGCTATAGGCTCCCCCTTCGGGTAAGGGGCGGGGCTGTAGTCTACTCCCCTCCTGATAGGGGCGGGGCTATAGGCTCCTCCCTCTCCGGGCAAGGGGCGGGGCTTCAGTATCCTCCCCTCCGGCGGGGGCGGGGCTAGAAGCTCCCCCTTGGGCAGGGGCGGGGCACGAGGCTCCTCCCCCCGGGCCCCGCCCGGGCCGGCCTCACCCCCTCCAGCCCCAGAGCCCGTGGTCCCTCCCGGGGTGGGCGCTTCCGAGGCTCCGGGCCTCGCCGACCCGCGGGCCCGGCAGGGTCTCCCCGGACGGCGCCCTCTCCCCCGGGCGGGGAGCCCGGCTCCGCGGGGCTCGGACGGCGCCCGCCCCCCACCCCGGCCGGCCCCGCACCTCGGCCCTCTCCTGCGGCGGGAGAGGCGGACACACCTGCGGGCGGAGGAGTTTATTGGACACTGTCCTCCCTGACAGGAGGGGGCCTGGCAGCGGGAGGGCACGGGGTGCCGGCCTGGGGAGAGAGAGCAGTGCGAGGGGGAGGGAGGGAGGCGGCACGGAGGAAACGCCGCCGCCGCCGATCGGGGCCACCCCCTGCGCGAGTGCCGCCCGGCCGGCCACGGGGGAGGCGGAGGCGGGCAGTGCTCGCGGCCCCTCCACCCGCCTCCCGGGCCTGGCCCCAGCCGGGCTCCTGGTGGACACCGGGGTTCCGTCCACACCGACTTCCATTCACCCACCACCTCGTACCCAGGGGCTGTGGGCATCTCCCTTTCGCCTTGTAAAATGCCAAGCCCTGGGAGCAAGTGCTCTTGGCCTGGACGAAGCCATGGGACCCCCATAACAATAATAATAAATAATAATAATAATAATAATAGTATCATAACAATGACAGTACAAATTAACACTCTCAGCAGCAATCAGTTCAGAGCCTGCACAAGTTCTTTTACCCCTTCTTCCCCCGCAACATCCCAGGACAAGATGTGGAATCACCCACGGCTCCCATTCACCTTCTGAAACACCCAGTTCCCAGTTGGATCAGGTTCCAAAGTCCAGTGAGAAGTCACCTTTTTGAAACTGAGTGCATCTCCTTAGAGACTGCGAATTGTGTCAGCATTTCCCAGAACAGCCCTGATGGGCCTCCTTGACAAGGGGCTTTCTGCGGCCCCCTAGCTTTAAAGCCAGGCCCCTGAGGGGGCAGTGCAAGGCTCCTTAACAAATAAAAGTCTCCTCTCCCACCCCAAATTCGCCAATAAATAAATCTGTGTTTAACCTAGTATTTCCTGGAATTTGACTTAGAGGCCCTTTCTCCTATAAAACCTGCCTTTTATTTAGTTTTCCTATACAATCTCCCTACAGAACGTATGAAAACTAAGCATGGTGAAGTTCCCAGGCCGTCCTGCAAACCTGCCTCATTTGGGAACTTGTCCTCAAAGAGTATTAGAGATACAATGGGTAGATGTATAGAAACACTGACGCAGAAGCTGCCTTCTGGGTTAATTGTCCCCAGTACCTGTCACCTGCCGGGGGCCCCTCCCTCGCTCTCCCGGGCAGTGGCTGTTTTGCCCTTTCCCCCTTGCCCCAGACACTGCCTGCGTTTGCTCACATTTGCTCTTGCAGCCAAGTACCACGGAGGATGGGGAGGATGTGTGTGGGGGCATGTGAGGGCTCTCTCTGCCAGGGGTATGTGAGCTCAGATGGAACTGGTTAGAGCCGGTCCCAGCGCCACACAAGCGACGTCTGTAAAAGTCCAAATGCCAGAAGAGAGAGATTCCGGATGACCCATAGCTGGAGATTAGTGTGAATAATCCTTCCGCCTTCTCATCTCATCCCGTCAGCACCCATCCCCTCCTCACCAACCTAGATGTCTGAAGGCTGGTCAAGTTGTTAGCAGAGCGGATGTGTGAATTGAGTGTCTGTTACACTGCTCTCCCCCCCCCCCCCCCCCACTAAGGAAGGTGGTGAGCCAAAGCCTCTCTACCTGCGGTGACAGCTACACCCCTCCCTCCTCTGCTGGGCCCCCAGCACCACCAGCTCTGGCTCTGCCTCACCACCTTGCCTCAGTGGCTGTCTTTGCTAAGGAGGAGATGGGAGAGAGATAAAAGGGGCTGGAGGGCTGTGGAGTGAAGGGAGGGACAGCCACGGAGTGGGGAGAAGGGGCATGGGGCCCCGCAGGAGGAGAGCCCAGCTTTTGTGGGAGACTCTAAGAGTCTCCAGAAGCCCCAGGGGTGGGGAGGACACCAGGCTCGAGGGAACTTTTCTTCCTCAACTAATTCTGTTAACTGTCCGGCAGCCTGGGCAGGGAGCTCGTCCTCCACTGGCTGGGCTCTGAGCACCCTCTCCCATGGTTACTGCCTTCCTTCTCCCAGAGTCTCCCGGAGAAAGTTCCTGACTCCCAGACCCTGGGGCCCCCTCCCAAGCCCTTCTTTCAACTTAGCAACAGGGTACCCTGCCCACTGCTCACAAAAGAAGCCTCTGGAAGATTCTGTGTATGCTCACAAAGAGCGAGCAAGCGAGGGGGGCCTTTGAGGGGTTCTCCTAACACAGGACCACATTTACAACAAATGGCCCCTCTTTGGGGGAATAGAGGGAGATCTGGCACTTCTTAGGGGTCCTCTCTGGCCAAGCCCCTCACACACACCATCCCATGTAACCTCGGAGCCTCCCGGACGGCTGACTGCTGACGTCCTACTCCACACACACACACACACACACACACACACACACACACACACACACACGGACACTGGTGCTCAGAGGGCAATGGCTGTCCCTGGGGTTTGTTCTCACACAAAAGGCCTCTGGGAGCCTCGCAGGAGGCTCGTGTGCGGACCAGAACCCGGCAGGCATGGCGGGAGGCTGTCCTTTTTCCAGGCGGGTGGAGGATGTGGGTGATGGAAGCTCGCTCAGGAAGAGAGGAGAGAGCCAGAGTAGAGGTGGTCAGAAGATTTTTTTTTTTTAAAAGCCAGAGGAAAACCCTCGGTCGTGGAGAATTGAAATGGGCTCATGGTCAGGGGCCTGGTTGCGCAGACTAAGGAAGTGCCTTGGAAAAGCTGGGCTGCTCTGACATCAGGGACAGCCGGGGACAGAGCAAATGCAACAAAGGTTTGGCTGGAGACCAAGCAGCTCTCTCCCGGGTGCCAGCACTCTGCGGGCTCTGAGCAGTGTCCTCAGGTCCATGTAACATCCGGGGCTTACTGAAGAGCCAAGGGGAGGCTCTCCAGTTCTTACGTACGTAACTGTGACGCGCCAGAGGAGACGCTGGCCAGCCCTGCCTTTCTCTCTGGCGTGGCTCTCCCAGTGCCCGGAGAGAAATGAGCTGCTATAAGGCCACTACGTGCACTCAAGCAACACAGCCTCCCGGGACAGTGGGGCACAGATCCTAACCTCAGGCCGGTCGTGGTTCTGGCAAGCTGGTCTGTAAACTGGAATTCCCTTAACACGCTCTTCCTGATGCTTCTATACTCGTCCCTTCTCCCTTCACCACCCCAGCTATGACCTGGGCTCTCTGGGGGCTGGACTCCTCAGTCCTTGGTGAACCAGGAGTGGCTCTGGCCCCAGAGGGAAGGGCTGAGGTAGGTGGGAGAGGAGGTGGGGAGGGGAGAGGTGTGAGCATGAGGTGTGAGTTCAGGTCTGAAGCCAATCAAAACACAGGATGCCCAGCTGAATTAGACTTTCAGATAAACAGTGAATGCTTGGTTAGCATACATATATCTCAAATCCTGCATGGGCCACATTGAATGTAACATTTGGGACATATTTATACTAAAAATGCATCCATTGTTCACCTGGAATTCCAATATAACTGGGCACCCCATATTTTACCTGACAACTCCAAAGTCCTCACCAGTCCTCCCTCCTCCACCTAACACCCTACCACCAGGCAAATTTCCTGACAGCTGTTTCTTCTTTCCGTTACTTCCAAGGACCTCCCACTGCCTACCACACCACATGGAACAGCCTCATCCGAATGGTCAAGCCCTCCCCGGCACAGACCCGCCCTCACAGGTGGTCTCCCCTGAGCCCTCCTTTCTCCCCAAAGCCTCCCTCAGGGTCCTCCTCCATTCTCTCCTCCCTGCCTGGAACTCCCTCCCCTCCCGCCATTGCCACCCCCCTGCCTGTCTCCCTACTCCATCCCTAGCTGCCTCGCAGATGGCACTGCTGTTGAGTGGGTGTGATTTCCATCTAAGCTCAGACCTGAGGCTCCCTGAGGCAGGGAGCACTTTCCTCTTCCTGACTCCTCAACAGGGTGGCTCTGGTGATCTGAGAGGGGGGGTGGGGGAAGGAGAGTCCATTGGATGGCAGGAGGGGAGCAAAGAGCAGGGTAGACAGATAAGGGGGATGGGAGAGGGACAAAGAGGTGGATGGGAGGAAGCCAAGTGGGAGGCGGGGGAGGGCCTTAGCTAGGCAGAGCCCCCCCCCCCCCCCCAAGGATCAGGCTCAACTTTCAGCCATGGTGAGAGGTGAGGGGCTGTGGAGGGGGAGATGTTGGGGGAGAGGAATGGATATTGGTGGCATGCTCTGCTTGCTGCCCCCTCCCACCTCTGCCCAAGGTGGCTCCTCCTCCTTCTCAGTGGGTGGGAACTGGGACTCCTAGCCGGGAGGGGAAACCTAGCTCTTGGACGCAGAAGGGGAGGATGGGGAGCTGGAGGAGAGGTAGGCAGGGAAAGCCAAGAAGCCAAAAGCAGAAGAGAGAAGAAGAGTGAGAGGAGGAGGCTGGAGCTGGGCCACAGGGGGCACCTGGTGGTGGTGGTGGGGTGGGGGGAAGCTGTGTGAGGGGCAGGTTAAAAGCAGCTGTGGTAAATGGGTGCGAGCACCGCCCTGTCCTGGGTGAAGCTAGTTGGTTTGTTATCTTTACCCACCAAAGCATTTACTTTGGTTAGTCGCCCGATCCACAAACACTTTCGAGGAGATGACATTACCGAAAGGGAGGAACATCTGCATCAGCTCAGCATCCCCAAACTCCTGGGGCAGATGGTAGATGAACAGGTTACAGCCCTCGGGCCCTGCGGTGAGGGGAGGGGGCGGGGGAGGAGGGATGGCGGGGTGGGGGAAGAGAGAGACAGAGGAGAGGTGAGCGAGTTAGGCAGCGGCAGCGGGGAGGGGTGGGGCAAGGTTAGGAAGGGGGGTCTCATCCAAGATCAGAGAAGAAGGAGGGCTGCTGAGCCCACAATCTGAGCTCTGTTCACTGGTCTGCCCTTGGGCAAGTCACTGAACCTCTCTGTGCCTCAGTCGCCTTTTCTGCAAAATGGATCTATACCAGGGTGCCTGCCTAGCAACCCCAAGGCTCCAGGGATGGAGAGATGGAGTACAAGGGGTGAGCATAGGCCTGAGGGCAGTGGGGACCAAACGTTGAGGAGAAGCAGAGGTAGGAAGACCTGGGAGGGGCTGCGGGCCTCCCTCCTGCCCAGCCCCTGCTCAGAGGAGGGCAGAGGGGGTCGTCCTGGGGCAGACACGCCAATGGTGCGGGCGCCTTGGTGTGAGGGGGGGGGAAACTTCAGCTCCTTCCTGCACTCAGCGGTGGGAGCTTAGCCTGGCCTCCTCCCTGGCCACCCCTTCCTGTCTGCTTCCCAACAGCCCCACCCTCTCACCCTCAGCCCCAGTCTCAAAGGCAGAAGTCAGATTCACCCTGCCTCCTCTGGTGGGCTGGGTGCACAGGAGGGCTCCACAGCCAGGCTCCATGCCCGGCCTTGCTGCCTGTGAGCATCATTTCCTTATCACAGCCCTGCCTCTTGGATAGCTCGTCCTCCCCACTTCGCAGATGAGAAAACTGAGGCCCAGAGAGATTAAGTCACCTTCCAAGAGTCACACAGCTAGTGGGAGCCAGGATATAGACCCAGGCTACCTGCCTCCAGTCTGTGCTGTCTCCTATCTCTACCTGTCTGTCATAAATCTCAATGCCCCAGAAACTCTGAAGAATTTCTGAAATCTCCAGATAGCTGAAGATTTACATTTCTCTTTTTTTAAATGACCCAAATGCTCCGTTTTAACTTGTTGAAATGGAAAGCTAAGATACTCCATCTCTTTCCCGCCATCTTTAGCATAGCCTGGTTCCTCTGACGGAACCTGTTAGAGCGCAGTCATCACAGTGCTTCCCGTCCACGGAGGACATGCAAAGGAAACGGCTGCCTTAGTCAGAGGTGTGCACGAGCTGAGGGGCTTCCACGGAGCAGGTGGAAACTAAGTGGGAGCTCAGAATCAAAGGCTGTCAGGCCCCGGCGTGGGCTGTGTGGCTTTCCGGGCCAGAGCCAATGGTCACGGTTCTCTGGGAAGGCCAAGGCTGCCAGACAGCCCAGTCCTGGAGCCCAGAGCTTGCTCTGAAGTCTCTGCCCTTCCCTGCCTTTCCCTCCCTTTCCACCTTCCGCCTTCCTCCTTGCAAAGACTCCTCTGACCCCCACAGCCACCCTCTGAGCTGCTGACCTCCTGGGTCCCTGGTCCCCACCCGCTCCCTTCCCTGGACTGCTGCTTCCCAGGTAAATGGCCAGGTGATGGCATTCAGAACTATTCAGAACCCGTGCAAGTGTGCACCCGGGTCCCGGTGCTGGATGCCCCAAGCTCTGGTGACCTCTCCAAGCCCACCCCCTTCTCTGGCTCATGCTCTGTGTGTCCCTTGGTGATCCCAGCTAGATATGAGTCCCCTTGGGGCAGGAGCCAGCTTGAAGGCCTAATCTAAGGCACAGCTCTTCTAGGACCCCCACCCAGATGCTCCCCACCCTCCCCCTGCCAGGGCTCCCTGAGTCCACACTCCGTACTAGGCCGGTCTTCTGAGGCTCTTCCTCCTTCATGTCTAGGAGGTTCTCAGGGTGCTCTCGAGGGGCAGGTGCGTTTGCCTCCTCCTGACCTATCCACCTTTACCCCCACCCCAGTTCCCCATGCCTTCTCCCCTCCCAGACCCATTCCTCAGGGCTTCCCTCTCCTCCCTATGCTGACATCTAACTTGAACTTGGGGCCCATGTTCCAAGTTCAAGTTCTGCAAGATGCTTTATGTGGATGTTATGTTGTCATGAAAAGACAAAGAACCTTCAGTGTGGTGTGTGGCTGAGCGCCACCAGTCCCCTGCCCCTCACCCCTCAACATGAAGCCTACACGTGTTCCTATTCCAGCTGCCCCGAGCTCGCACTGTATTCCCTCGCTCACAGACTCTAGAGCACCCAGATGGCATAGCCAGCAGGACTTGGAGATCCATCTGGTCCAGCCCAGCTTTCTGAAAAGTGGCGAAATGGAGCTCCAGGGACAGAGAGTGCCCACCTCTGACCACACAGCTGCCCTGGCAGAGCCAGGGATGGAGCCAACCCTGAGGGGCACCATGGCCTGTCTGGGACACAGACAGCCTCTGGGGAGTCAGGCATCTGCTGGCTTTCAGGCTCCACTCAGAGACAAGGACTGCCAGGCAGGTCCTCCCGAGCAACCCATGTGCCCTGGCACTTCACCCACATTGCCCAGGGGGAAGCGGCCGTGATGTGACGAGGCCCAGCTGGAGGAACACAGCTCTCTTTCCCATCCATGCCGCATGCAACGTGGAACACAGCTGTGGTCTGGCTCGCAACCCCCCTCAGCCTATCACCCCTCCCCGACCCCCGCCAGGCATGCCTGTGTCCCTACCTCTGTGTGCCCCCAAAGCCCTCCCTGACACCCCGCCCCCAGCACCAGGAGCCATCCCCTGTACGCAGTGTGGCTCGGCAGGCATCTGGGTACACATCTCCCTCCTCCCACACCCTGCTCCCAGGGTCGCTCATCGTGGGCACCCAACCCCAGGGAAATGGGGACAGGCATGGGAGACCCTAGGCCAGAAGATAGGCTGCAGTGGTGGCTGACCACACAGGGTCTGATCTAGCAAACAGAGCGTGAGGGTGCGGAGGAAGCTGCCCACAGATGGAGAGAAGGTACGAGAAGATGCTCAGAGCTGGGCCCAAGGGGTGGTGCACAGCGGGAGGTGGGGGCAGGGCAGGGAGCAGACGGAGGGCCTCAGCCCTTCAGGCTCCAGGCCTGCTCGGGGCCTGTCTGACCAAAGATAGGGGTTTGGGCCGCAGACCCACATGACCTCCCCAGGACTCACTACCCCGGCTGTGGGACGGTCTGCAGCAAGAGCTCATGCCGGCCACTGAGACAGCGGACCCCCTGGCCATGTGGGCTGCTGGGCATGGTGGCCTCACTGGCAGGGCGACCTTTTCATGGGCTGTTACTGTTCCTGCCTGTCACACTGAGTTTGTGCAGGCCACGGAGCCCCTAGGGCGGGCTTGTTTACCCAGCTCCTGTAGGCCTCCAGCTCAGGTCCGGGAGGACACTGGGTTTTAATGAGTCCCAGCCTCCCCGGGCCCCCTGGCCTTGCCTGGCCCACCCTGGTCACACCAGGGCCTCTGGATGTGGCTTCCCAGGACCTCCGTCTCCCCAGAGGCCTGCCCTTGGGCCCCTGTCCCCACCTGGCTCACCTGGTCACCCACCCAGAGGGTAAAACTTCTGACAATAGTTTTCCAACCGCCTTAACCCCCACACCAGCTGAGAGCACCCCTACTTTTGCCCTTCCTATCCACTGGGGAAGAGGGAATTCCTGGGCCCCCCCGTCGTCCAGGGTCCCAGCCTCCTAACCTTCCCCGCCGGGCTGTGCAGAGCCGCCAGAGAAGCCCACCTCCCGCTGGATTGGAGAGCCCCACGTCTCACAAGCCTGCCCTCTGCCCTCACCTCCACACAGCACACACACACGGTCATTTTCCCGCAAAAAGCCCACCGAAGCCCGGGAGCAGCCTCTTTTCGGAGAGAAGGGGACGGGGAGGGGCCTGGGAGCCCGGCGTGCAGACTCACCTTCTCGCTGTTGCTGGGGGATCATTGGAGGCGGCTGAGGGAAGGCCTGGCTTATCTGACCATAGGCAGCAGGGTAGGCGGCTGCTGGAAGGCCAAAGCGGAGAGGCAAGAGGGCAAGACGCGACGACAGCGAGGCGACAGCGACAGACGACAAGGTGAGAGGCAAGAAGGAAGAGACATTTCAGTGTTGAGCAATACAAGCAGACCAGTCAACACGTGCATTCAGGGCAGCCATGTAAGGTAAAGCTGGCTCTCGGGTGTAAAGGAGAAGCGCGCCGTGAAGATAAGTGTGTGCATGTTCATGTTTGTATGTACAGAGGTGTGTGTGCGTGTGTGTGCATGTTAGTGCTTGCATGTTCCTGTGTGTGTGTGTGTGTGTGTGTGTGTGTGTGCCCGGCCCAGGGTGGGAGTGAGAGAAGCATGACTGACAGCTTGCCTTGGGCTTTCTGTAGTGGCTGGTCTCCGTCCCATTCAGTGACCCAAGGCCATCTACCCCTCCTTTTTCCACCTCTGGCAGCCTAGCCTCCCTTGTTCTTAGTCAGCCTTGCTCACACCAACTCCCACTACCTGGCGGGGGCGGAAGGGGCATGGAAGGCTAAACTGCTTCCCCTCCAGGGCCTCTCCTTCTCGCAAACCCGGGCATCTAAGCTTCCAGGACCAGCAATTGTGGACTGCGGTGGGCGGCACCCCAGCTCCTCACCGCCCCACCCCACCCCATGCTGCTGTGTGGCTTGGTGCTGGATCAACTAGACACACTGGCTTGGCAGCCCCATGGGAAGGACAATCTGGCCTCAAGGATGATCACTGCAAGGTCAACACTTGAGCCTGGCTCACAGGGCCTGGAGTTCTGACCACCCACCTCTCCAAGGACCCCGTGGGAGACTGCTGGAATGCTAGGGGCCTGCGGGAGGGTGGCAGCCTGAAGCAGGGGCCTCTGGGAGTATAGCCTTCCCTCCTTTCATCGTAGCTCCCCAGCCCCTCCCCACCTCCCCTCTCCCTCCCACACAGTGCGCAGCCCAGGACTAGGGTGGGGAGGGCCCTGGTGCCCAGGCACAAGTGGGGATGAGCAAAGCTGGGGGAGCAGAGGGCACGCGTGGGTACTAACGACCTGCATACTGCTGCACTCCGGCGTAGGCCTGCTGCAGGGGGTCCGCGGCCGTGGGACTCTGCGCTGCAGGGGAGCCAAGGGGCAGAGGTCAGTGATGCCCTCCTCAAGCCAGCCCCTCTCCCACCACACCCATGGAGATGACGCAGTGGCTGCATTGCCCTTCCCAAGCCCTGTGGTGCCTGCCCTGGGGCAGGTCATCTGAGTTGCCTGCCTTGTTGGGGTTCCCCCTTCTCCAGTCCAGGGCTCTCAGTAGGGTGGAGGGTGCCCTTCTGGATGGGGGCTGCAGCCTGCAGCTGGCCTGGGGTGGGGGGAGACAGATGCTTTAAGCAGAAGGCTGGGAAGGGCTGAGAAGAAGATGCCAGCAGCTTGGCCATGAGGGGCTCAGTGGGGACACATGAGGGACCTGGCCCAGGAGAAGGGCTGTGGAAAGTGGGTGAGAGACTGTCAGGAGGCTGGTCTCACCCTCACTGTCCTCAGCAGAAGTCAGGGGCAGAACCAGCTGGTGAAAGAAAGGGCACAGGGGGCCTCACCCAGTGCCACTCTGTCCTCCAGGGCCACCCATGGCTGCTCAGGCAGAGGGACCCTCTCCTGTGATCTAGGGGGTTGGCACAAGGCATGAGGCTTCCATCCCGGAGATGTGACTAAGACACTCTGGGCAGGCCTGGGAGAGGGGTGGTGCCCACAGACACTGAGGAACCGGCAGGCCAAGGACCTTCCTCCAGCCCAAATGTGTGACTCTTGGATGTCCACTGCCTGGTTCGAGGAGAGGGTCCTCATGCTGGTATGTTGGCAAGCAACTGGGGGCATCCGGGCTCGGTCCACTTCTGTTGCCTTTGCTGGGTCTTAGAGGCCTAGTGCAGGACAAAGGTGGGCACTGCCTTTGGTGGCGATGGCTAGTGGGAGTAGGCTGGCCTTGGAGGCCCGGAGCAGTGGGAGGGGACAGATCTAGACGCAGTACATTCAGAGCAAACTGGATAAACAGGGAGGTAGAAAGAAAACCATCAGGACTTATCTGCCTGGCAACCTTGATTGCCAAGATAACTGGCAGTGCCAGTCTTAGGGGCCTTGTAGATCAGGAAGAATTCCTCACTTCCATCCTGAGCTCTTGTTTCTGAGCCTCAGTAACATCCCACTGGAACAATAGCATCTGGGCCTCAGGGCAGCCCAAGAAATCATGGGGCAGAGATGCTTAAAGACTGCGGCTGCAGCAGCGGAGCGGGGCCAGGGCTGCTCAGAGGGGTGGCTGAAGTTGGATCCTAGCCCTGTCCCTCTCCTTCGCCCCCAGTGGGGCCTGAAGCCAGGAGCTGCCAGTGCTGAGGCTGTGGTGGTGGTGCTTGGGGGTGTCCTCTCCTCCCTGCTGCTCCCCCTCCTGACCCCCAGTTCTCTAGAGGGAACCCATCTCCAGGCTGTGCTCTTGGTCTCCCTAGCCGCTTAAGCACATACTGCCTTTATGCCAATTAAAGAAAGAGTTATCTCTATCTCTGGCACATAGTGTGGTGCCCTGTGTAACACAAAACCTGCAAACTCACCTGACAGCCATGACCCCCCCAACTCACACACATACACACACACACACACACACACACACACATGCACAGTGCCAGGATCATAGCAAGTGCTCAGCAAATACTGTAACATAAGAAAGAAGGAATCATCCTTAACATTTATAGAGACACCCCTGCAGGGGTGTTATGTGGCAGTAAAGGCCACACTGTGTGCTTTCCATGCGAAAGGGGAGAGCAGGGAAGCTACCTGGGGCTAGGGAATGGAGGAAGGCATTTCTGAGACCCTCTCTACTTCTCCGCTTAATGACCTCATTAGTAACTGCCAAAGAGTGAACATTTTGAAGGATCTCGCTCATTACAGCAGCTCCAAACTCCGCATTTAAAGATGGTAAATTAATTTTTTTAATGTACTACTTTTCCCCTCTCCTTCCCTCCTCCCCTCCCTCCTGCTCCAGCAGGGAATTGTTTATGGGATATGGCAGATTGTTACAAATGGGGGAGAGAAACAGTTCCAAAGTCCACGAGGGAAATAGCTCACAGATGCTGGTGGGGGTGGGGAAAGAACAGGTTTGTCAAAATCCAGAGCTCCAGATGGGCTTGTGGGCACGGAGGCGGGGGAATGAAACCGCCCAGATGTGCGGGGACTGTATCTCCCAGCCCATGAGCCTGAGGCAGGAGGAGCCCGGGAACCTGAGATTGGTGGGCCCACTCCCACCTCCAGCTGCCCAGCCCCTGCCCTGCCTCCCTTGCCAGCCTGGACTCTTCGTCCTGAAACAACTCCAGACCCAGGGCTCTGCCGTTTCTCTCTCTAGGCTTCTCCAGCCTCCTCTCTGAGCACTGAGAGGTGAGTTGAGGGGCAAACACTAGGATAAGACAAGCACAACTCCAAGTTCAAAGTCAGCACATTCTCCTCTGGTTTTCTCTAGCATAGGGACCTTGTCCTCTGCTGCTGAAACTTTTATATTTCTAAAGTCTGGGCCTCACTTCTGAAATCACTAACAGAAATCACAACCTCCAGGTTTCTGTGGTTTTACAAAGCCACACGGTGGATTCTGATGGACAACTAGAGTGGGCAGCATTACTCTGCTGCCCATGGCTGACCGACTCCCCTTCAGGCTGACCTCCTCTGCCCTGGCTGGGCCAACCTCACCATCCCTAGCCTACCAGGCAGCCCCCTCCTCTCGATGGGCATCCGGGACAGCCGCTCCCCAGGGTGTACCCCTGGTTTGTCTGTCCTCTCCTATCCAATTCCTACCCATTGTCAACTTCCATCTGAGCCTCCTGAAAGACAGCTCTGCTGGGCTTCTTCAGAACCATCTACAGAACCCTCCCTTCCTTTGAAACCTTTAGTGCTTCACGATGGAAACATCCACTCTTGATCAGACACCATTCTGCTTATTCTTTCAACATTCTGTTGATATATACTGTGCTCCTGACTGGACTTTGACCTCCCAGGGGAGAGACCCCCATACTGCCCATCTTCTGTGGGTCCCTTTCCATCTAGCACAGACTGGTCACTTACGCGTATTTATGGGGACTCTGCAACTTTGTCATCTGCCCTCTAGGAAGGAGGATACCACTCCCCGCATCTCTGAGACATTGTCCCTTGCTAGTCTACCCTAGGACTTTGGACCCAGCTCTTCTGCTCTGTCTATCCTCAAGGCCAGAAATGAAAGCTGCTTAAGTCAACTGGACAGTCCCACCATGAAAGAGCTGCTGAGTTTGAGAGGAACAGAGTTAATCAGGCCCTGGCCTCTGGGATCTTCTGTGTGTCAGAATGAATCATAGCAGGACCTGGGAGCTGTCCAAGGTCCTGATCCTTTGTGCGAGGTGCTGACGGGGGGTTGTGTGGACACCAGTATGCTCCCGCCAGAATGTCAATCTGTGCATTTTCCCTTCCTTCCCCAAAGAGTATTTTTCTACTTAACACTAGGTATACTTTTTATTTTAGCTTCTGTCCCATGACTTCTTATAAGTCAAATTCACTCTCAGTTAATTTGCAGTTACGGGTACTAGCCTCTGGTTGTACAATTACTGCATCTCTTCTCTCTTCTCCCCTGCAGGAGCCCCAGGAATGCATTCTTTCTCGCCTACCAGACGAACACCTCCCCAAGGATGGGAACTTGATTCCTCCCACCAGAGGTTCCCTGATCTCCCTGATCACATTTGGGCTTCCACCAAGGAATGGACGGAGGGCTGGAGCCACACATTCCCGGTTGTAACAACAAAAGGGGTTGGGGGGGGGAGAATGGATGAGGGGTGAGCTGCATGGGTAAAGAAGGGCTGCCAGACGTGCTTACCTGGGTAGGGGTGGATGCCATTGGCAAACACAGCTTCCGCAGCAGGTTGCCCATTGGCCTGTGGGGGGAGGCCAGTGAAGCCGTTGACCCCAATGGGGGACGGGATGCTAGGCACGGCTGGTGCAGTGATGCCCGGAGGGGTGCTGCCACCTGGTTTCAGAGGCGGGGAAGGGTTGAGGAGGAGGGGAGGCAAGCAGAACAAAGGTGAGGAAAGGCCAACCCATGGAGCGCCACCCCCTGGCTCCAAGGGCCTGTGTGTACAGTTGGAATTCACACACCAACTCAGTCCTATCTGTGAATCACATCTTGGATCACCTCCATGCATGGAGTGGTTCCACTCACCCCACCCGTACCCATCCTTCAAGGCAGAGTCCAAATCCCACCTACCCTTCCCTGGCCACTGACCACTCAACCTTGGAACTACAGCACATAGACTTTTCTCAGTGCCTTTGAATTTGACCACACTTGGTCTTCCTTTAGTCCTTTTCAGTGGTTCTTGCTCACTCCAGCTAAATCAGGATGGGCTAGTCCCTGTTTAGCCATCAACAGACTTCTAAGTCGCTGGCTTTGCTCTTGCCTGGATCATGGAGGGGCTAACCTGCCTCCCCAGGGAGAAGTTTTACTATGTGAGTGGAAGAGGTCTTAATTCTGGAGCTCCCCTGCAATTAGGAAGAGAGGACTTTGCAGAGTCCAGACTCAGCCCTATCCATGTACAGTAGACACCCTGGCCTCCTCCCATGGAGATTATGGTTATGTTCACAGTGGCGAGCGTAAAGTTAGGAGCAGATGACAATACACTGTGCCCTCTCTGTGCAAGGTGGGTAGAATCCCAGGGGTGGCTGGCATGGTGATTGTACTAAGGCCTCAAAGCTAGAAAGGGCCTTCCCCTTCGTGTAGAAAGCAGGATCTCTCTGTGGACTAGGACATGAGGCTGGCCTGGGTCCAGGAGTAGCCCTAAATTGGGGATCAGAGTTATGAGGTAGTACTCAAGTTGAACCTAGAGATGGCACAGTCTTTTATGGACTTTATCTGGGAAAGGAATCTCTCGGGGGTGTAAGGAAGGCTGTTGCTATGACCTGGATATAGAGAGCAAGGAAGCTTGGTGATTGAAAGCCCCTGCTGTAGGACCAGCCCTTGGGACTAGACAAGGTTTTCTCAACGTTGACACTATTGACATTTGTGGTCAGACATTTCCTTGTCGCGTGGGCTATCTTGTGCATTGTTGGATGTTTAGCAGCATCCCTGGCTTCGACCTACGACATCAGAGGATCACTCCCCTCCCAAGTTGTAACAACCAATAGGGTCTCAGGACATTGCCAGATGTCCTTGGGGGTGGGGAGAGGGTAGGCATGAAATCATTGCCCCAGTTGAGAATCACTGAACTGGATACCAATCAGGATCCAATTAAAATCACACTTTGTGAGCAGGGCTGTTTCCCACCCCCTGTCCTTCAGTAACTGTGGTTCTCTCTTGCTTGTTGTGTAGTTCTTTTGAAAAAAAGCCAGTGAGTCTATGTTCTCAACCTTTCTAATGCCGTGACCCTTTAATACAGTTCCTCATGTGGTGGTGACCCCAAACCATAAAATTATTTTCGTTGCTACTTCATAACTATAGTTTTGCTACTGTTGTGAATCGTAATGTAAATATCTGTGTTTTCCGATGGTCTTAGGCTCTATAGCAGCGGTTCTCAACCACAGGTGTGCCTAAGACCCCAAATAGCAGGGCTGCCTAAGGCCATTGGAAAACACAGATATTTACATTATTATTCATTAACAGTAGCAAAATCCAGTTATGAAGCAGCAATGAAAACGATTTTATGGTTGGGGTCACCACAACATGAGGAACTGTATTAAAGGGTCGCGGTATTAGAAAGGTTGAGAACCACTGGGTTAAAGGAAGATTTAAAAAGCAGCTCCTTCTATGCTTGGGCGAGGGACCACACAAGGCCCCAGAGGGCTCTTCTCCCCTCAGGCCTCAGGGGAGATGGGTTCATGTCCAGTTCTTTCCAAAACAACACGAATGAAACCCACAACCCCTGAAACCATACTATGGACTTCATGGGCCCACATCCCGCCTTCCCTTGTTCCCCTGAGATCAGAACATTCTGAGACAAACGGCTAGTAGATGAGGCCTGTGTGGGCATGGATGCCGTATCCTGTTTGCCACAAGGTGGTCCATCGTAGCCCAAACTGGCCAAACTAAAGGATGGACCTGGATTCAGCTGTGTCCTGGGTCCGTGCCTGCTGGCTCACCTGAGGTTGGGGTCATGGGTGCGGCTGCCAAGCCGTTCATGTTGAGGGCCGCCATCTGCTGCATCTGGGCGGCGGCGAAAGCAGCCATGGGGTTCAGGTAGCCGCCCTGCGCGACCGACGCCATTAGTGCCGCTTGCTGCTGCATCAGCTGGGGCAGAAGGAATGGAAAAAATATCACGCGCTTCCAGGGGGGGCAACCCTGCCACCAGGGAGCTCAGCTCCAGGACACCAGCCTCTTAGGCTCTGAACCCCAGGGAGCTCAGACACAGCTCCCTATCCCCCAAATGTCTCCCCCATGGCTGCCCTAGCTCTCAAAGGCTGTTAGAAATCACCCGCAAAGGGCTAACTATTCCAAAGTCATGGTAGAAACAGAGACTCTGAAACTGCCATAAAAGGTGGGGGGAGGGACCGGCCCCATAGTCCTGTGAAGACCGTCATCATGGAGATGCCCTGTGAGGCCCAGAGCTCTAGAGACATGTTGGATGAGCCTCCGCAGGATTAATGTAGCATGGGGTTCAGTCCCAATGTCTGCACCAAGGTGCTTGGGTGCTGGAGGCCATTGACATGGATCTGAGATCTGAATGCTGCTGAAGGAGGGAGGCGAGCTTGCCTTTTAGAACCAGGCCCTGGACTACCTCGGTGCCACCCTAAGGGTTCATGTCCTTTTCTCTCTGAAACAACCTGAATAACATGCCCCCTGCCCCCGAAACCAGATCATGGTCTTCATGGGGCTCACATCCCGCCTTCCCTTGATTCCCCTGAGACCAGAACATTTTTGAGACAAACTGCCAGTGGATGAGTCCTGTGCAGGCTCCGGTGCACGGGGGTGGGTGGCACCAGAGGGGGTTGTGGCTACGGATCTGGGAGGCAGCCTAGGGGAGAAGCTGGCCAAGAAGGCCCCACGGTGGAAGGATGAAGTTGGTGAGCCAGGGGCTGGGGGGAGAAGGGAAGGGTTGCAGTGAACGCATTGGTGTGATGGGTTTTGAGGGACCTCTGCCAGGAGCGACCAGAAGCCTGAGCACACCCTTCCATGAGCAGGGGCAGGAGTCAAATTCTAGGAAGCACCCTTCCCACTTCCATTGGTGCTTCCTAGAGTTTGGCTAGCAGGGGGAGCGTTCAGGATCACCCACCTTGCCGCCCTGCCTAGAAGCCCCCTCTCCAGCTCCTCCCCTTAAGAACCTGGACAGCAAACCACCACTCTTGGCAGCCAGCCACCCTGGACGGAACCACACTTCTCTCAACCCCCTTTGGCCTCTGCCCCGGGTTCATTCCCGACCACTCCTCACTCCCCAGGGCTGGGGCAGTGTTTTCTAGGCCAGAGACACAGGGCTCTCTTGGCAAAGACAGGTGCCCCTGCCCTGGGTTTCTGAGCAGAGTTAGCTGAGAACCGCCACCCGTACACCCCCCACCCGCGTCTGCGCCCCCACTTACTGCTTGTGCGTAGGCGCCATAGGCCCCGAACGGGATGGCCATGGGGTTGAACATGCCCATCTGGCCAGCCATCTGCTGCATTCGCCGCATCGTGCGCTCCTTGTCGGTGTCGGCGAACTTGACCACCAGACTGGACGAGGCTCCCTGCAGCCAGCCGGGACTGCGCGTGAGGCCCGCCTGCCCTGGCTGCCTCCGCTCCCAGCTGTCCAGCTGTCCGTGCCCCTGACCCAGGCCCTCCCTCTCCTCCGGGAGGCGCTTCTGGGGGCTGCGGGGTGAACGGCACCGGTGCCCGCCCCAGGGGTCTGGGGTCTTAATGGACTGCGAGCCAGTTCCTTAGACCCCTGGACTCCGTGTCCTTGTCTGAGGTAGGGGATGGCGGTGAGGCCCTCCTGTCTCTTGCAGAGGCAGTGAGCAAGCAGCGCGGCCAGGGTTTGCAGGGTAGGGACCGTGCAAGGGTGGTGGGCAGGACCCTGCAGAGGGTGCTCTGGGATGGGCAGGGGTGTCCTCCGGTCGCTGCTGCCTGCGTCCCAGCCTCCCCACCCAGGGGTGGCCCAACTCACCGGCATGGTCTGGCTGCCATGTAGCGCGTTGATGGCGGCCTGCGCCTCGGCGTGGGAAGAGTACTTCACAAAGGCGCACCCTGGGGGGACAGGACGGGCTGAGCCGGGGCCCAGGGCCCAGGGCCCGGAGGGAGGCCAGGACCAGGGCGGAGAGAAAGATCCAGAGGAAAGGAGAGCCACCAAGAAGCAGAGACAGAGAGACCGTGTTCCACCGCCCCTTCCTTTTCAAGCGCCCCTCGCTGGCTGGCCGGCCCTGGCCAGCTCTGGGCGGCTCTGAACTTGGCTGTCCAGGGGGCGCGGACCCGGTCCCCGCCGCGCCCACCTCCCCCCTGCCCGCACCCCCGCCCGCCCCACCCGGCGGCCCGCAGCTCACCCTTGCTGTTGCCGTCCGGCCCGCGCAGGATGGTGCACTCCTCGATGTTCCCGAAGGCCTCAAAGAGGCGGCGCACGTCGTCCTCAGACTGTTGCTTGTTGAGCATGCCCACGAAGAGTTTTCTATCTTCTGGAACAAAATTAGGAGATGCTTACCGGGGCGGGGGGGCCCGGGGGCGCGGGGCGAGCCGGGGAGGAGAAGGGTTTCGGGGGAGGGAGAAGCTGGGCAAAGCGAGGAGGCAGGGCTCAGACCCGAGGAGGAGGAGGGCAGCAGGGAGAGGGCATGGGGGGAAGGGGCGTAGCTAGTGGGGCTGGGACAACATGGGTAGGGGCTGGAAGTAGAGGGGGGGTGGCCAAGCCAGAGGGTGTGGTGAAGCAGAAAGGGCTGGGTGAAGGGGGAGCTAGACTGCAGCGACTCTGCCCTTTCCTGTCGCATACAACAAGGGAGCAAGGCCCTTGGCCTGGCCACTCACCCAGGCTCAGGGGTCACTCATGCGGTTCTGAAGGCGCCCGGCTTCCCTCCTCTCAGGCACACACTCTCGTCCTCATCTGCCTTCACTCACAGCTGCCAAAATGAGCTCACAACAAGCAAGCCTGCCGCAGGGCCTTTGCAAAAGCTGGTGCCTCTGCCGGGGGCGCCCTCCGCATCACAAGGCTGATTACTGCTCTTCTAGGTCTCAGCGTAAACATTGTTTTCTCATCCAGGCTCCTCCTTCCACCTCTCCTTTATTCTCTGTCTCAGCCCCTCACTCTCAGGGCCTGGTTTTTAAAAGATAATTATTTCCTGCTTTGCCTGTGTAGTTGGTTTCTGTCCAGCTCCCTGCCACTGCCTCTTACCCGCCTATCTGCTTCCTGAGGAAGAGAACAGACCTCTCCCTGGCCCAGAGTAGGCCCTGGGGACAGAGTGCTGGGACAAGTGAATGCTCTGTGCCATTCCACGGGACACGTCTCCTTTCTATCTCACAAGTTTTTACCTCCTTGGTTGAGGCTCATGCTCCAAAATTCAGCCCTGGGTCCTTCTGGAGAGCCTGAAGACTGGGTCCCCTCAGTGGCCTCCCCACACTTGTGTTGAACACCAAGTGGTTTGTTGACACAGGTCAGCTCTGTGTTTAGGATGACAGAGATCACCTCGACTTCAAAAAGACTTCCCACCCTGCAGGTTTTTATTTCCATGTGACTTCACCCTTCCCATGAAGAGGCTGGGGCCTCTGTCCCCTTCCCTTGAGTCTGGGTGGGGCTTGTGACTGCTCTGACCCAGTGGTCGGCAAACTCATTAGTCAACAGAGCCAAAGATCAACAGCACAACGACTGAAATTTCTTTTGAGAGCCGAAAACCGACTTCTGCGCATGGGCCACGAAGTTTCAATCACACTGTACGTGGGCGCCCGCACGTGGTATTCTGTGGAAGAGCCACACACAAGGGGCCAAAGAACTGCATGTGGCTCACGAGCCGCAGTTTGCCAATCACTGCTCTAACCCATCATGAACAGCAGAATGGATGCCCGCTGACTTCCAAGGCTCCATCATAAAAGGGATCGGTTTCCACTCGGGTCTCTCTTTGGGGGACACGTGCCCTGTGACCAACACCCAGTGGCCCACACGGTGGGTGCACACAGAAAGGAACCGAGGCCCCAGCTGACAGCCAACATCGACCACCAGACTTTGAAGTGAATGAGTCCCCAGACGGCTCCTGGCCCAGCCTTTGAGTTCTCCAGTAGAGGCCCAGACATCCTAGCGCAGAGACAGGCCTTCCACGCTGTGCCCTGTCTGAGTTCCTGACCCACGGAATCCGAGAGCTTAATAAATGATTGTATCATACCCCTCCCTTTGGGCTGCATTGTTATGCAGCCTCCGTGGCTGGAACAGGGGCCCTGTGGTGACAGCACTCAGCAGGCACTCGCTAGATGTCTGTAGGCTGTTGAGTGACTGGCACACATGGGCACAGACAGCTAAGACTACAGAAATGCATCCCCCACCCCCAAAGCTGCAAGTGGTCATGTGTTGATGGTTTTCTTGGAAGGTGGGGCACTCTGGGCAGTTGGTCCCTCCTGCCCCAGAGAGCCCCCTCACCGACAGCCAGGAGAGTTCACACGTTGCTGAGGGCTGCCCTGGTGTCTGGAGCGAAGCAGGAAACCTCCAGACCCCAGCTCTCCTTCACAAGCCACTCCAGACTCCTCCTCTTCAGGAAGCTCTAACCACTGCTCTGCTGGTCCGCCTCACCCAGAGCACGCAGCACTGGGCATATCATCAGTGATGAGACGGCCCTGGGTTCCAACTTCTTCCATGCCCTGCAGGCATCAGTTCCTGTTACCGGTTCTGGGTTAGGACGCCCTAGCCTGGACCTCCACCACTGGTGGGCTTTAGCCAAAGCTGGGGGCCTGGAGGCCCCACCCTGCCAACTGCCCCAGCTCAGCCAGGCTTCTGGGCCTTGGCAGGGCTGGACAAGCCCCTGTCTTATCTCCAGGGCTCACCAACTCCAGCTCTGGGTTGTGGAGGTGAAGACTGGGAAACCAAGAGAAAGGGAAAGAGATGGTAAAAAGGGGTGAGGCTGAGGAGGGATGGCAGAAGATGGGGTTAGGGGCAGAGAGGAAGGGAAAACGGTGACGTTTTCCTAGAGGAGGTGAGCGGCTGGAGTCATGCTGCCCAGGGGCAGGGGCGGGGGTCCCCAGGCCACAGCGGAATTAGAACAGTTTGAAAGATGGAGCACCCTCTCTGACATCTCTTTCCACCTGCTCCCCAGTGGCCGCTGCCTGTGGCGGAGCTTTCCTGCAGAAGGCCGCCTTTGCTTTTCCATGCCTGCTCCCTCTCCCACCAACACACCCCATCCCCACCCTCTGGCCTCCAGGCATTTTCTCAGAACCTCGACTGACTGAGCTCTGAGCTTGTTGTCCAGCCCATAAAAAGCAGTGGGTGCCTCTGCCTCCCGGTAGGCATAGGCACTCTGACAAGACGGGATTTCTCCCTCTGAGGAGCCAGTCCTGCTCCCCACTCAGGCAGTGGTGAGGAACAGGGCTCCGCTGGCACGGTTTGTATTGTGAAAGGAGAGCCCTGGAAAAAGAGAAGCAGGTCCCCAGGGTGGGTTTAGGACAGGCCCTGGGACGGAAGTTTCAGGGTGGTGCCCCCCCTCCAACCACGGCCGGTGGCATCTCGCTGTCTGCACAGGGGCCCCTGGGGAAGGAGGAAGGGATAGGTCGCAGCAGCACCACTTGACTTGCCAAATGCCAGCGCCCTGGCACTAATGCTCAAATTCCAGTTTAATTTCCAAAATTTGATTCGCTCATTACCATCGGCATTAAACAATATTTCCTGCTTAAGGACAGCCGGCTGCTGGGCCACTGGGCGAGCTCAGATGGTTAATGCCTTTTATTGCCGCAATAGACTTTTACTGTTCTCTCCCCTCCAGCTGCTGGGGAGGGTTTGCGGGGAACCTGAGCAAGGGAGAACCAGAGGCTGGGGACCAGGATGGGGAATGAATGGCTCTGAGGGCTGTGGCCTCTCTTCTGCTCATGAGCTATTGGCCTCTGGGGTGGGCAGACGAAGCCAAAGCCAGAGCCCCATGCCCCCCTGCTCCCCATCTGGGGGCAGAGCCTGGAGCCCTGAGCACTGTCCCTGGCAGGGCCCTTGAGCATCTCTTAGGGGACTTCCCAGGGCACCTCCGGGATCCAGAGGCCACGTGCTCTCCCTGGGTGTCCCAGGGCTCACAGGTCAGACCAGGGGGACACCTGTTCCTTCTCTCTGACTTCTAGGTGGATCAGAGCGAACCTTCTGGCGAAGGGGATGAGAGGAAACTGGCTTCTCAGGAGGGCTGGCGGGCAGGGGGGTGGCTGTGCCACCTTAGGTGAGTCACGGACCTCCGCACTGGCCCTCCGTTTCTTTGTCTGTAAAAGGGGTGTTAGTCACACTCCCCTCTCATGGCTGCTGGGGATTCTGCCCTTACTGTGCTGGTTACAGATATTCCTACTGTCACCCTGGGGGCCAGCTGGTAGATGGGGAGGCCTGCCCCCTGCCCCCCAGGGTATGGAGGGGACACCCAGGGAATGAAAGAATGCCTTTCCCAAGCCAGACTAAGAAGCCAGGCTTCCCTTTGCACCCCCTGACCAAATGGGGGACCCCCAAGAAGCTCTCAGTCTCCTCCAGGAGGTGTACTTGGATTCAACTAGGACAGGAGACAATCCCTTGAAGGCGCTGAGCCCCACTGAGTGCCATTTCCACAAATTCTCCTGACTCGGCCTCATCAAACACCCATGACACCTGACGGACCATTGGGGACCACACTGATCATCTGAATCTGTGCATTTTCCACTCTCCCGCCCTCCCCCCTAGTCCGGAGTCCTCCTCTGCCTCCTCCGTGACCTGCCTCACTCCCGAGGGGGGCACACAGTCTCAGACCCGCCTCTGGATCCGGGCGCAGTGGACAGGTCCTGGTTCCACAGCCCCTCCTTTCGTGCCTGGAAACCCAACAATGGCTCATCCTCCGGTTGGAGGGAGCACTTTCCAGCCGTGTCATCCACACCAGGGTAAAAGGCCTGGATTCAGGCCCCTCTGCAGCCATGGGACCAGGTAGCTCTGCTCCGGAGAGCATGCCCTTCACCTGGGGCCCAGGAGGGCTCTCAGCGTGCAGCAAACCAGTAAGTAGAGGAGTGATCCCCCTACTCTGTCCCCACAACACACGCTGTCTCCAAGGCAGCGAGGCAGCGAGGGCACAGCTGGGCGGGAGCAGCCTCGGGAGGGAGGATGAAAGCCTTCCTGCCTGGGAAGAAGGCTGAAGGAGACATCAAACCAGATCAAAGGCTGCTGGGGATGGGGAGGCATGTGCCGCTGAGATGGGGCTCCCCCTCCACAGGGATGCAAATGAGGACCCTCTGCTGCTCTCGCCCCCAGGGGAGGCTGTGCCAGGCCTTGATCTGCGTGCAGGGCTCCCTCCAGACAGTCTCTGTTTGAAGTTGGGCTGGGAGGAGGCAGGAGACTGGAGAACACATCTAGTCCCCTGTAAAACTAGATGCGTTTCCCTCACTGGCATTCTTTCAGCCAAGTCTGCCTTCCAATGCTTCAAAGTGGACCCAGGCCATGAGAGTCACATTCTCGCTGTCTCCTGACACCCACCCAGGCCCCTGCTCTCTGCTCCTCACC